AAACCACATGGGCGGCCATTTAGGAGTACGGAGAAACGACACTCCGAAACGCACCGCCTGATTCTGTCAATCCAGATCTGATCAAATCCAAATGCCTCCAATATAGAATAAATGAAGCCCCAGTCCATGCGATCATATGCTTTAGCCATGTCTAACTTCAGCATAGTGTTTCCCCCTCGTACTCTATCATCCAAAGTGTAGAGAAGCTCCTGAGCCAATAAAACATTATCTCCAATCAGACGGCCTGGGATGAAACCACTCTGTGGAGAGGAAATAATGCGCGGTAGCAGTGTACTCAACCGAGTGTTCAAAAGCTTAGTAATAATCTTATTGAACACTGTGCATAAACTGATTGGTATGAATATTGAACACTGTGCATAAACTGATTGGTATGAATTCAGTCCATCTGCAAGCACCATCCTTCTTAGGTAGCAAGACAATAGAAGTAGCAGCAAAACCCCGTGGAAGATGACTACCATCAAAGAAATCCAATACCGCCCTGTAAACATCCTCCTGAATGATATCCCAGCAATGCTGGAAGAATAGGGATGAGAAGCCATCCGGACCAGCGACACTGTCAGCATGAAACATAAAACTTTAACTTGAAGTCAAGACATGCTCTTATCATATACTCAGCATGAAACATAAAACTTTACAAAGAATTTACAAAAACAAAAAATCTTATAAATAACATTTGTTCTTTAAAGATTTGGAACTAATATTGATTATTAGTACCATATCTTAGAACAATAAAACATACCTACCGGAATGATCCATCAGTAGTTTAAAAACATAAATATATTTTTTTTAGGATATTATCATATCTAAGAATAAAAACAATTTAAAATTAAAAATTTTTTTAGAAGAATATTATGAAGAAGAAGAAATATGTTTAAATTTTGTAGAAATTGAAAAAATATATAATTTGTTAGTAACAGAACAAGATATAGAAAACATGATTAGTAAACTAGAAAAATTAGAAATTTTAGGAGAAAATGTATTAAAATATTGGGAAAAAGATAAATTTTTTTAGGAGAAAATGTATTAAAATTTCTAGTCATGCATTCACAATGTTGACAAAAATTTGATGAAAAATCTAATGGCTGATTTGAAACATTTTTTTCATCAAATTTTTGTCAATATTGTGAATGCATGACTAGAAATTTTAAAATTTTAAATGAATCAAATCAGATTTTACAACAAAAAAAATTATTTTTACAAAAGAAGATTTCTGATCTAGAACAAAAAATTATTAAAATAAAAATTCTAAATTCAGATTTTCAGACAGTTTCAGTTACTATAGAGCCCAAGAAGTCTATAGCTAGTCCAGCTCAAACGGTAGCTGGTAAAGACTTAACAAATCCGTTTATGGTTTTGGACTTACCAAAAGCCCAACAGACTCAGGAGGCTGTTGATTCTCCTACTTTTCAATTTAATCAGACTCAACAGGCTGAAAATCCTGTTACAGAAAATAAAATTACTGAAGAACAGACTCAGCAGACTGTAAATTATGCTACTAGATTAATTAGTCCAATAGATTTAAAACAGAAAAGCCCAGTTAATCTTATATCAGAATCATTTCAATAATCACAAGATCCAGATCAAATTACTCAATCAGATATAAAAAGATTGAAAGAAATGTTTGATAAAATTGAAGAATTACAGCAACTAGTTAAACAAAAGACCTCAAAAAAAAAGAAGTTGCAGATAAAGAAGAAAAACAAAGGCAAAAAGAAAATTGATCTTAAAGAAGATTATGAGAATAATACAGAAGAGGACAATAATTCAGAAAACTATACTGATGGAGGAGCATCTTTAGACAGCATTGGCCGACACAATTATGAAATAAGATAAGGGTTCAAGAAAGATCTGATCATACAAAGAAAGACTTAGTTGGAAAAGAGACACTTGGCAAACTTTCAAAAAGATCAGAAATTATTGTACGAGAGACAAACTTTTTACTGTTTGAAAAATTTGTAACGAATCTTACTGTTTTATAAAGTAAGATTTGATAATTAAACTTTTTACTGTTTTCTTTTTGACGTTTTTGAAAAAGCAAAGATTCTTTGCTTTTGAAAAACACGTTTTCTTCCTTTTTCTTTCCTATATCAGAAGTCATTCTTTCACTTGTAAACACACAGAATAGAGAAAAATAATAAAAGTTCTTTGTTTCTTTGAAACATGTTCTAATTTTCTCTCTTTCCCGAAAGGGAAATTCTTAATTGTTTTTATTCTTAGATATGATAATATCCTAAAAATATATATATTTATGTTTTTAAACTACTGATGGATCATTCCGGTATGTATGTTTTATTGTTCTAAAATATGGTACTAATAATCAATATTAGTCCCATATCTTTAAAGAACAAATGTTATTTATAAGATTTTTTTGTTTCTGTAAATTATTTGTAAAGTTTTATGTTTCATGCTGAGTATATAATAAGAGCATGTCTTAACTCCAAGTTAAAGTTTAAACTGTTTTTAAAATAAGCCCTGAGTGACCCTTCAAAAGCGTAAAGGCCTAGTGGAAAAGCTAGTGAAACGCATAGAAAGGGGAAAAGGATCACTGTTTTAAGAATTTTTGTTAAGGGAGTGCCAGTGGTGTCCTTGCAATAATGGAGTTAGGCACAAGTTCATATATCTCAGATGGCATATTTTTTTAATTTCAAATAAAAGTTTAAAAAAAAAGGATATTATCTTATCAAAAGATATTTCAATTAAGAAGAGTACTGAGTAGGGCTTTTATAATTTGATTTGTAACCGCCTTATAACCTTCTTATAATCCTTGAAATACTAACATTTTTCAGGACCCCCCTCTCTTTGGTGTGTGTGTGTGTATATATATATATATATATATATATGTCTTATTTAATATTTAATTATTTTACTAATACTTAGTTTGAACGTTTATTTTAATATTTTAATTATTTTTTCTAACACTTAATTTAATTTTTTATTTTTAATGAATGTTTAAATACTTATTTTAATTTTTTACGCATAATACTTATTTCATATTTACAAATTTATTTTAATTACTTTGCAAAAAATTAATTTTATTGCTATTTTAATTTTCAAATTTAATTATTTTTATTATTTTACAAATATTTAAATATTTATTTAAATTCTTTATATATATTACTTATTTAATATGTAATTATTTCTTTTAATTATTTTACTATTACTTAATATAAAATAATAAATTGATCTAAATTAACAACAGATAAATATTTCGATAAATAATAAAACATTTATATCTTACATTTCAAATAAATAATTTTAAATACATAATATACATTAAAATTAAACAATTCAAATAAATAATTAAATATTAGAGAACACAATATAAAAAATTAATAATTATTCAATTAACTTCAATAATTACGGGAAATAAATAAAAAAATTATAAGCCCACGACCCAAATAACGGATGGTCCAGTCAATTGGGGTGGGCGCCCAGACGGCCCCAACCACGTTTTACCGTGAAGATAGTCGGAAAACTCCATTTCCGACAATCTCCACTCAATTTTTGCCTTCCCAAACAATATTCTTACCCAAATTTCATATTTACACAAGGATTTCTCAACATATATATATATATATAATCATGCTTTTTTTCCAAAAAATAAAATAAAAACATATTTTTTCTTGGTATGAAAATCTTACCTTCTTCAGAAAGAAATAGCCAACTGGGTCTCTTGTTTTTCCTTTTTTGTCGATGCTTGGGTTTATGGTACTACAGTAATTTTCCACTCTCCTTATTCTCTTCTATTTCTTTTTCATATGGTAAACATAAATTTGGGTTTCTCTTGATTTTTGTTGATTTTCAAGATTTTAATTTTTTTTTTTTTTTTACTGGTCAAAGGCCTCTTTGAATCCGGCCATTGGCCACTATTTCCTTGAAAAAGTGGTCGTGTAGGGCAGCCATTAGCTACCATTTCCTCCACTATTTCCTCCGACAAATTTTGGGTTAATGGGTCGGGTAGGAAAATTCAAAATTAACACTTCTATTAATTTGTGTATACAACATCGATTTTGCTAGTGGTATATCGGGATGTATCTAATAGTGTACACCCCACTTATATGGACGAGAGATCTACTCAAATAAAATATCATTTTTTTCACATGAATCTCACAAGTAAAATGTACACCATTCGATACACCCCATTATGTGCCACTAGATAAATTCATACAAAAATATTGTCCAAGGCTAAAAAAATGATTCATCAGCCAATTACCCACATTTGCATCAGTAAGCATAAAAGCTGACTCCCAGCCAAACAATACAATAATATATGATAACGCCGGTTTATAAGCAATCCTATTCTCATGAAAAGGTAGCGGGATCTAGAAGAGGAACCAACTCATAAGCCATAAGTTTTACAAAATGAACAAATAACACAAACATACCTCCAAAAATCCGATTTTCCAAATAAAAATAAATAATTAAACTGAAATAGAATGAAAGAGTAAGAGCAGTACCTGAGATTTAAATATTCCTATACCGTCCCATACCAAGAACAAAGAGTGTTCCACCGATCTCATTGTCCACACCTCCATTTTTCCTTACTGTTTCCAAACTGAGGATCCGATCATTTGTATCCAAACAAAATTTTCCTTCTCTAATCAATAAATTGCCTAGCCTCTTGAAATGGATGAATCCTTGAACCATTTCGTTCTGCCACAGCGAAAAATAGAGCTATGATATCTCTCTTTTCACAGGAGCAATGTACTCCTTTTTGGTTTGTTAGGGTTATTGCAAAATGGCTTAAAAGGCCACTTTGAACGGCTCAAAGTCAAATTAGAAAAACAAAAATGGACAAATAAGAAGCTGGGCCCAGAACTTTGGGTACTTACATCCTTGACAGGCTTAAAGCCCTTAACCCAGCTTGAAAACAAAATGTGAACTGGACAAAAGAAAAAGCCCAAAGCCCGTTACCTTTTAGTGTCATGGTGACCATACTCCAAGAGGATTGTACAGTCTGGCACGATGTTCAGACATAGATTGGAGTGAGTTATTGAATAAGACAATGGTGTGTGCACACCATCAGCTTATACCCCTTCACTTGAAGGGGTTCCAAACTTTGTGTACATCATGGTGTACACACAGCACAATCCAATTGAATAGCTTAGTAAAGTCTCAACTAGGGGACTACAATCATTCTAATGTTAGAGATGATAAGTAATCACGTCAGGAAAAATGTTGATAAATAGTGGGCTAAGAGGTTAGGTGAAGAGAATGATCGAAGAGGTCCACAAAAAATGTGTTGGAACCAATGAAGATGGAATTGCAATACAATAGGATGCATGGGAAGTTTTCTTTACTTATTTTAATTTAAGAAGGTAGGAGACATAACGGCAACAAAATAAGATACATAGGGTGTTTTCTTTTCTTTTTCTAATCTATGAAGTAAGACACAATGGCACAAAAAAAAGCGTTATATAAAAAATATGTGTATTAATTGATTACTTAATATGAAAATGCGTGAGAAGACATTAACTTGGCCGTGCCTCCGCCAACTGTGAACGAGTTTCTTACATTGATCTGCGTCATCTTCATTGGTAACCATGGATGGATCCAATTTTGCCATTTCTCGTGAATTGGTTTCAAGCAAACTTGTATGTTGAAAAAATAAAATGCAAAGAATCAACTAAAAATCATGTGAGCAACTTACAAGAGACAAACATCAAAAATAACGAAAATAAATGGTGAGTCGTTGTATTCTATTGAAGATCCCCTAAGATATTGAAATTAATTTGTGAGTATTTTGTTGAAGAATGTGATATTTTATACATCAAAGTAAGCATTAAATATGTAATGGTTTAGACTACATGGAACGACCCTAAAATATTGAAGATAGTTTGTTGACATTGAAGATTAAACCACACTCCGTTTAGGTTAAAAATCAAGTTTTTAATAGATTTTAATAAGAATTGAAGAAATATGTGGTTAAAAAATTGATAAAATATTGTATAAAATGTGTGGTTGAAAAAAGTTCTTAAAAAATGAGGGTTAAAATTTTGAGAGTCAAACAGGAGTTAAGCGTTGTCCTGTAGCAAAATAAAATAATAAAAACAAAAATTAATTTGGTTGTGCTACATGTATTTCTCCATTTATTTATTTATCAACAGACAATGTGACAAGATTTAGTTAAGTCATGATAACTAAATATTTATCTTAATAAAAATTTAATGCACAAATAAAACTTCTATCTTTAAATAAATACATGGCAAAATTTCATATCTAAGAGTTAACTATAACCTATTTCAAAATTAAGAAAAATGTTTTAAAATTTCAAAAATCAAATATTATTAAATTTTATCTATGAAATAATTAATTAAAAATATATTTTATATTAATATCACAATTCTATACAATTTGGCGACGAACTATTGAATTAATTGGTCACAAATTATTTCTCGATCACAAATTATTTCTCGATCACTTACAAAAAAATTTATAGGTCACGAATCAAAAATTTTATAAGTCATAATTTATCTATTGATCACAAATTATCAAATTAATATGTCACATATTAATTTTAAGCCACAAATTACGTTACAAATTATCAAATAATTAGACAAATTATTTCTCAATCACAAATTATTAAATTAATTGTTGAACACTTAACAAATTGTATGTTACGATTAAAACTCACCCCAAAAAACTGCCACCACCACAAACTGATAACACAACCAACAAAAATCACCCCAAAAAAGAACTAGCACTACCAACATCACCGCCACCTCAGAGCACTGTTGACACCACCCCTACCAATTGGACACAACCATCAAAACCCACCCCAACAAAATTACCTTCATCGCCACCACCTCATGAGCGCGGCCAACATGACCACCACAGCCACTACCACCAACTGCACGCAACCAACCAACTGTTGATAAATAATAGCAAATAATAGTGTTACCGTAATTTATATTTGGGTAGAGTAACGACGTTTGGATGGTTTTGAACGGTTGAGACAAGAGTTCGACCCTTTCTCCTTAAAACGATAATGCCCCACACTGGTACTAACAGTATTGTAGCACTCATTTTCCAAGATACAACGATTGGATATGCTAATAACAGTAGTGCTTATCGATTTCTCGTACATAAGTCTGACATTCCGGATATACATGAAAATACTATCAGAATCTAGGAATGCTGTATTTTTTGAGGACAAATTTCCTTGTAAAGATAGGAAAGAAATAAGCCCACAAAAACGAACTTATGATTCTGCAATTAGTAATCCTCAAAGTGATGAAGAACCAAGACGCAGCAAAAGAACCAAAACATCTACATCTTTTGGTCCAGATTTTTTAACTTATATGTTAGAAAATGAGCCCAGGACATTCAGTGAAGCAATATCTAGTCCAGAAACTCCATTCTGGAAAGAGGCTATCAATAGTGAAATTGATTCTATTATGCAGAATCATACCTGAAAATTGGCAGATCTCCCACCTGGTAATAAACCATTAGGTAGTTGTTCAGGGCCAAAATGAGCACAATAGTGAGAACTCGAAAATGTCACAATATACCATATTAATCTACTCATGGAGTAGAACACATTCGACCAAAGAAATCTTATTTCCGATTAACGGGACCCACTAAATTAATTGGTCAAAAGTTGGTTAAACCAACTAATTAAAACCAATTTTTCCAACACCAACTCTCACCAATTTTTTTGGCACCATCGTAACCAAATTTTCCCTAATTGCGAACAAAAAAAAAATCACAAAACCAACAAGACTCCAATGCCAGATTGCAACCAAGTTTTCCCCAAATCCCCCTATCATTCGTTGCTACAACGGCGACGACAGCGACATGAGCGTCGCTCATAAACAACATCGTCACTGCACATATTGCACTACAACGACGATGTCGCACTACGAAGGCAACTCGTCATCATAGCAAAGACAATTGTGGTGGTCTCCAACGAAAGTTTTCAATAGCTAAGACAAAGAGATGGAAGGAAGAAGGAAGATGTTAGAAAGGGGAAGGAGATAATGTAGATGATAAAGAGAAGAGAAGAGGAGGAGAGAATGAGAAAATGATTCGGGTTTTCGATTGGTGGTTGGATTGGGTGGTTGTGTATGTATATTAATTTAATTTTGGTAGATATAGAGAAAACAATCAATGACTTACTAGAAAACTATTAGACTCGACCCAGACAAGGTATTGTTCATGTTGATTATTCCCTTGCTTTCAATTAAAACAAAAGGACAAAATTTGTATTGCTCTTTTCATTTAATTCCTTCTTAATGTATTTTTTAAAGTTGAATGTTTAGTCACGTGTCTTTTAGCTAGTAGTTTGTGAAGAAAAAAGTATTTAGCCTGCTTACTTAGATATTAAAATTAAAATTTTATTAGATTTTAATAAAAGTTGATAAAACGCGTGTTTGAAAAGTTGTTAATTTTATGTGTAATTAAAATTAATTATTAACTTTAATTTAACCATTGTTTGTCTCTCTTTATTTTTAATACTCATTTTAATTTTTTAACATATATTCACACAATAAAATATTTTGCACGTATATATACATTTTTTATACTTTTTAATCACGCATTCTTCATAAAAGTATTGTTTAAAATATTATTTTCCCTTAATTTCTCTTTACAATGAACATCAAACAACACGTAGGCCTTGTTTGAGCTTCATTAATTTGAAGAAATGTATTATGAAATAGTAATTGATGAAAAATGTATAGTAAAAAAGAAAAAAATTGATTTCTATGTAATATTATTTTAATGAAAAATGTACGGTTAAAAATGAGTATTGTAAAAATAATAATGAAAAAGAATATAAAGTAAATGATGACAAGAATTTATATTAAAATGATTTTAATTTGTACCAAATAGGGACACAATGCAAGTGGCTTCCCTTTTGATGCGTATTGAATTGTAAATTATGCTAGCGTCCATGTGATCTAACAAATATATAATGCGGAAATTTGCAGCAGAAATCAAAATTTTTTGAAACATTAGCAGACTTTTCTTAAACATTAGAATTGTTGCAATCGTCACCTCTAACATTTTCAAACGTTGTAGATGAAGCTCTTTTGGACTGTTTTCATCCACAATTTCATTAGTTAGGCAAAAAATTTAACTTTTACCACATTTTTAATATTTTAAAAGGGGGAAAAGAGTAAATTTTCATTTATCACATTAAATAATAATTAAATTAAAAAAATAAGAAAATAAAAAAACACAACCCCTATCTTCTTTCTCTCACTTCACCCCCTACTCAAATCCAAAACCCACGCCAACCACCGCCACCATCATCGCTACCTCCACCTGCGTATCACTCTAAAAAAGGGTCGAAACTTAGATCTATACATACAATTCTTCTACATTTATAAATCTGAATATCCCTTTCTCTTTCTATATACACCACGTGTTCGTAGAGAATTGAATTTTCAAGGGGTGATGGTGTGTATATGAAAGGGGTGAACAGATCGACCTCGACTCCTTTTTCACGCCGAAGGGACTGTACATGGTGATCGGAACAATGCCCGGGACGGTGGATCTGCAGTTTAATTCCTCCACAAATCTCAACATCTTTGAGCTTGACTTTATGTCCAATGATCGTCAACTGATCTTGGCCGGTATTGTCCCCAGCTCCGAGCGCTTCAATCGAATTTCCTAGGGAAAAGGTCCTGCCAACTCTGAGGAGTTTCCTCTTGGCCTCATTGCTGGTGGTTTGGTAGATGGCAGCATTAGCCTTTGGAATCCCAATTTCCTAATCTGGTGAATTGAATTTAGGTGGAGGTAGCATTGATGATGGCGGTGGTTGGTGTGGACTTTGGGTTTGAGTTGGGGGTAGGTGAGAGGAAGAAGACAGGGGCTGCCTTTTTTATTTCTTATTTTTTTAATTTATTTATTATTTTATGTGATATATGGAAATTTACTCTTTTACCATTTTTTAAAATATTCAAACTGCAGTAGTGTGGTTGGAAATCGTCTAAAAGGGATTCATTTATAACGTTTGAAAAGATTAAGGGTGATGACCATAGCAAATCAAAAATGTGATGAAAGTCTGCTAATATTTTAAAGATTTAGAACTTCTAGTGCAATTTTCCTAATATAAAATGGTTAAAAGGAGACGAAACCCTAAAGTCTGAAGAAATAAAGCTCACGCCTCACTCCTCCACCCTTTTCTGTCTTCAACGCCACCATTGGCTTCAACTCCATTAAATCAGGTAAAAAATACCCACTTATTGGAGACGTATGAGGATAGATTTTTCCCAGTTGGGGGCTTCAACTGAAATATGTCTCTTCTTCTTTTCGAGTTTTAGAAATGTGTAATTTTATGTAGAGTTATACATGTAAGCTTTAATTTCGCACGATAATTTTGTTCGCTCATCGTATTGGAGATCTGGTATGAATTTCTTGGAATTATCATTTTCTTCCCCTATACCTTGCGATCCAGTCAGCAGTCTTTTTTTTTCCTTTTTGGGTCATCGTATTGTAGATCTTGAAACAATGATAATTTTAGGAAAATTGATAATTTTGTGGTTGGGTTTTATTTTTATTTTTATTTTGAAGCAACCCACTTGTGGTAAAATGGGATTTTTTGGTTCAGCAAATACAATTGGATTTTTTTTTTTTTTTTTTTTTTGTGTGTGTGTGTGTAAAATCTCCAATAGAAAACCTCTTGTCTAGTGATAAAGGAAATTGGACTGAACTGTATTTTGTCTACCCGCACTTAATAAAGTTTGCTGCTTATTTTACTAATAAGTAGTTTATTACTTATGAGTTGGTCTTATCTTAATTAAATGCTTACGACCGATCCAATTTGTTATTTGGACAGGTTGGACAACTGATCGCACTGTAATTTGTTGACTTCACTACTCTCAAAAGGCTATAACTTAAGCAGCATGTTTTTGCTACCATAGAAAGAGAGATCTGATCCAGATCTAGTTTCTTTCCATTTTCTTCTACCAGAAAATGGCCCAACCTTTCATCATTTTTGGGAGGCTTGGCAATTTACTAATTGTGGAGGATAAATTTTGTTTTGATGCGAATGACCCGGTGCATCATTTGGAAACTGTTATGAAAAATGACGGTGCTCAAAGTGTCATGAGTGGAAGAATATGTGATATTGGTATGGGCGGCATAGGAAATATTACTACCTTCGTGCTCTGTTTCTAAGGTATACCTCCTATATATAGACGCAAATTTAGAAAGTTAATTTACTGAATATTGGAAATATTTATTTTGTCTTCATTAGAAAAAAGGGCTTGGCATGAGTATCTTTAGAAGGTTTTTATTATGATATTTATGCTTTTTTAAATTTATTGGAAGACATGCCAATCGTGATAACCCCATGAATTGGAGGGATTTCGTTTAGGAACTAAAGTAGTTATTGTTGGTTTGCTTATGTGGTTTTTGTGGTTCTGATGTTAGAGAATATGCAGCTTGTCAATCTATGCAGTTAATGGATTTTAAATATCAGCTTATAGTATAATTAGATGTCATTTTGTACGATAGTTTTTAGATTTTTTATACTTTAGTATCAAGCATAAAGGATTTTATTGATTCTACAATGTTTTATTTCAAAAGTACATAATTGAAAAGTCCAGATTTTTTAGTGAAGAAGTATAAATATTTGTGACTCCACTTATTGCTCATATATTTTTCCATTTTTTTTACTATGTAATAGTATAATTTTACGAAGCTTATATATTCATATGCATTTAGGTTGTTTTAGTAATAGATATTTATAATGATGTCTTTACTTTATCTTGATTTGTATGTATTAGAGGGATAAGTGGTTCCCAATCTATATGATACAACACAAGTTGGAGGGGGTCCCACATTTTTAAGGGTGAACTGTGCACACTTGCTGAGAACAAGTCCAAACTCGTTATTATAATTAAAATTAAATCTTTTTTTTTTTTTTTAATGAGGTGTCCCAGCTTGCGCCAGACTATATCCTCCTCCCTGATAATTAAAATTAAATCTTAATTGCATTACGTATTGTATATGGTTAATTGATTATGATCATTTTCTTTTTGTAGGGGAAATACATTCACTTCTCAAGGCCAAAGAAATTGATATTGTTATGGATAGCAGAAGGATTCAGAGAGAAAGTTAGAAACAAGAGCCTAAAGGATGTGACTCTGTCATTGGATTATCTAATGGATCTAATAAATAGTAACTCTATTTAAGTTGCCAAAAGAAGATCTGACGGTGGAGTCAAAACTTGTAATATTAATTATTTTATTATACGTGCTTAAAAATAGTTAAAGAAAGAAATTTGAATATATGAGTGGAGTCAAAAGTTGTATAAGAATGATAATATTGTATCAAGAGTGTTTAAGAATAGGCGAAGATGGAAATTCGAATGTATGATGCAAAAGTTGTATAAGAATGATAATATTGTATAAATGATATATTGTATGACGTGCTTAAAAATAGTTGAAGAAGGAAGTCTAGTTTATGTTAATCTAGTAGTTAGTTTTTTCTTTTTAACTGTTGCTTCTTTTTCTTCCTCGTATATATTTTAACCTACTGATTAGTGTTGATCATTTCGATGATGTTTATGTTGTCGTTGATGTATCTTTAGAGTTCTTTAATTGATGTACAAGATTCTCTAGTCAATTATTGTTATGGATGATTTTTCTCCATAAATGGTTTGATATGATAACCGTGAGTTTCTATGTTCAACTATCATGGTGAAAAGAAGTTTGGATTTACCTGTAGTAACCAAATCATGGTGAAAAGAAGTTTGGATTTACCTGTAGTAACCAAATGCTGCTATGGTGAATGATTTTATAGTCTATATCGGCAAATTTCAATTGTAACTACACATTTTTTTCTGAAAAAGAAAAGGAATTTTTTTGTACCTATGTTACATGGACTTTACAGAACACAAACCATTTCTTTTGGCAAGAATATTATGCACTTGTTTGAGTCACATTTTTGCTAAGAAAATGCATTTTTTAATAGTGTACTGATGTGAAATGTGTAGTTAAAAAATAAGGAAAAATTTTAAATTTTCGTGTAATATTATTTTATTGAATAATGTGTGGCTGAAATGATATTAAAACACTGTTCGAGAATGTATTTTTTCAAAAAAATGGGGTTCAAACAAGGGTTATATATGAAACGAGCAGAGTAAATGAATGTACTATCTTTATAACTCAACAATAACAAAAATTGTAACCATTCGTTACATAACCGAGTCAAAAGTAATGAATTTACATGCAAAGGAAATTTAAAATTAAACCATTACAGTGCCTACGAGGAAAAATTAATTTAATACCCATTTTCTTGTTTATCAAATTCTGAGCTAGAAACCCGAAAGAAATGTGACTTAAATGAGTATTTATTGGTAAATATTAAAGCTCAAAAGTATTCACAGGAGATCCATTCACAAAGTTCAGCTTTACTTTTATCCTTCCATCTAAAGGTTTATAAGGAGCTCTTCATTAGCATACTATTATTATATATAAGAAGCTATTTTCAATTTTGAATATATAGTTTAACGGATTGGGTCTGTCAATTTCACTATTTCATACGCATTAGAATAATTTTGCAGCATTAAGTTGAATATGAATTTGGGAAAACTAAGGGGAGATGTAGAACACGAACGGTGGTTTCAAAATTTTAGGACTTGATTCAATTGAAGAGTTTAAACGAAAATTGTTGAGGTGAACATTCGATTGCTTATCCTTTCTTTGCGTCGGATGGCTGACAAATCTTGATTATATTTTTCATTTCTATCAATGAAAAAAGAAGTGCATGTCAGACCGATTAAAATTCAGATATTCATTCTGGCAAGATCCCAATAATGAACAACCATGTTATTTGAAAAGAATTTGTATGCAGCTCAGGGCCGGTCCTCTGATTGTGGGGGCCCAAGGCGAACTCCTTAAATTGGGCCCCCAAAATCAACATAAATCAAAATCCAACGCCATACTATACAACCAATTGCTAATTTAAAATTTAACGTAAAAGACATTTACAAAACATCTCAATTATAGGAGGATTCTTTTACGTTAATTAGTGGGTTTTACCCAAAAAAAAAATGGAAAAAAAAAATAATTTTGGGCCCCCTTGAAGAGCTGGGCCAAGGCAGCGGGCTGTTGAGCCTATGCTCAGGTCCGACTCTGATGCAGCTGCTTCAGTTTTGAATTCCTAAACAAGAAAAAGATTATTTCCTTGCCAAACGAATTTTACGTAGCTTGTTTGTCTAAATAAATTGATTCGTTAATGCCAAACCATTATACTCTAAAATTGCCCCACCACAATTACATGCGCGGACAATACCCCAAAGATCTTTCCATTTAACTAAGATGAACAAAGCCTTCGACTTTCTCAAGACTCTAAATTAATCAGTGGAAAGAGATACAAAGTAAAATACTTTGAGGCAAATATATAAAGAGGTATGATCAGACGAAGTATTGAGTTTTAAATTCGACGCCGAAGTGAATGTGAATAGGCTTAGGATAGTTAACATGGAAGGCCAAGACAATCATCGTTAATTTTAATTAGTGTTCTAACGGGCGTAATGTGTGGTGATGCGTTGATGCCAAACTAAGGGCAATGAGAGATTAGGCGAGACAAATGCGTAAAAAAGAGTTAAAAAAGCGTTTTCTTATTTTAATATTATTTTAAATTTTTAATCAATAAAAAAAATTATTTAATAATTATAAATTATTTAATAATGAATTGTAATAAAAAAGAAAAAGAAAAAAAAAACCTAAGAATGTGCGCCTAGGTGCGCATAACCTTGCCTAGGCGTGTATTGGCGCCTTAACCTCGCCTCGCGTCCGTCAACCACCAAATAAGGCGCCAAGCACTTTGTTTGGCTAAGGTGAGTGCTTGGCGCCTTAGTCTTGCCTCGCGCCAGCATTGACGAGCTATTTAAAACACTGGTTTTAATGTCTATTTTAGAAAATTTCTATTAAATTATTTAATAACATATAAGTAGAGTGACTGTTTGGTACCCATTATTTTCTCATTAAAATGAAAAATATGACAGTTATTCATCACATCAAGTTACCAAATTTGAATTTATATCTCTTGTGTGAGGCTCGTAACGACTATATTTTTCATTCTCATTCTCCCAAAAATGAGAAACAAACGGGGGCTTAATATCTATTAAATCGAAGCTCAATGATCTGATTGCCTAGTTGCTGGTGCGATAAAAGTTTGGCAGTCGTATGTACACTTAACCCGAGCTCTTTGACCCATATTTTACTTCCAATCCAAAAAGGCACGCCCAATTGTCAAAAAGGCAATTTGTCTAATTTGAAAAAAACAATCTCAACAATAAGCAACATAAAGGTCTAACTTGGAATTTTATTCATATCTTTCTATCTTAATGTATTTATGATTTTACCATCATATTCATAAAAGGTGAACAAACCTTCTCCTATCTCAGTTTTGAATGCTTGTAGGATCCCTAAAGTTTTTATTGACAATATCGTCTATATAAGAATAATAATATATGATACGAGTGGTATTTAAAACCAACTTACAATTATCTTTAAATGATAAAACAAATTAAATGTAAGGATATAAGACCCATCTAATTGGATATATCATTTAATGTAATCATAATGCCACGAAAATGGATGCACTAAGTGTTATGCATCATTATTTTTATTTTCAATGCTTGGATATTCATTTAGTTCGTTATTTTCGAACATGTATGACATTCCATTCAACATAAGCATTTCAAATTTAAAATTAGCTTGGATATTCATTTAGTTCGTTATTTTCGAACATGTATGACATTCCATTCAACATAAGCATTTCAAATTTAAAATGCTATGTGATGTAAATATTTTCGACTAGACACTCTTATCCCACCACCCGTCCTTTTAACTTATATCGAGAAGGAAAAAAAAGGGTGTTTATGCTTATTAGAAATGTCATTATTTTTTGGATCTCTTATCTAATTTATTTATGTAATTATTATTATAAATAAAAAATGTAAATTTCTTGAAATAATATCTATTAATAATAAAATTGAAACCGGGTCTCTATTTTTATTTTAAGTTCACTTACATAAATATTAATTTGTTTTATGGAGCTAATTTTTGTTACTCAACCCCGTTTGATAATCATTTAAATAATTTTTTTCACAAATTTATTTTCAATAACAAATTTTCACAATAAAATATTTTGCACGTAAATCTAAAATCTTTCCTAATTGTTAGTCACACACTTTTCAAAAAAGCACTATTTCAAAATTTATTTTCGCAAAAAACTCTTTTTAGTGATTGTCAAACAGCAGCTCGATTGGATCCACATTCCTAAATTGGAAATAAAACGTATTTTTATGATTATACCACATGACGATTCAATCAAGTTTTGGAAGGTTTTTGGTCTTTAGAGTTTGATTGTACAAAATGAATGTTTAAAGACTAACTTGTTGCTTGAATAATAGATTGAAAACCGATAGTGCAATTATCATAGAAGAATTTTGTTACGATGATAATGATAAAGTGCATGATAGGCCACAATTTTCTTTGCTTGAGAGAAGAGAAAAAGAATCTTGTGAAGTAGAAAATAATAATTTGTAATGTTCCATAAAATAATAAGGGGAATTTACATAAATGAGATTAAATTTGAAAACGCATAAAAAAATTTCATTTGCATCAATTTCTTCCAAAAATGTCACTTTTTTTATGCAAAATGTCCACTTTACCTTTTATGACATCTTTTTAGGAGCAATAAATGCTTGATTTGAATGCAATTAATGGTGTGATGTGATGATTTATTTTACATATTTTAAACATTTAAAATATGATTATTATATTGTATAATATAAATTTTTGTTAAAAAAAGAGTGAAAAGTTAAAAAACACACACAAACATGTATGAATAGAAACCCTACATTCTTCTTCTTCATCTTTATTTCATCATCAATAAGGAAAAGCTATTGATCAATCTCAAAGGTGAGCTATTAGAAATTGTTTATATTTTCATCTCATAGTTTACTATTTTAGATATTTAATACAATATGGTTATATTTAATTGAACTTTTTGAATCTCCTATTTATTAATGTATTTTATTTTTGATATATTTTTCAAAGGGAAAAAATACCAACATCAAAAATGTGAAAGATTTCATATTTAATGAAGTATTGAGTCATTCCTTATTTATTTGTGAGAATATATTGTGATGTTGTAGTTGAAAATTGATTATTACCATTAATGTTTTCAATAATTTCTTCCAAAGAACTATATACATGGTTTTCAAGCTTCCCCAAATTTTGTGGTAGGTCAACTGTCGAGTAGTGTCGTCGAAACTATTAGGTTAGACATTTGAACTGTCGAACTCGGCATTTACTCATTGTCAAGATATACAATTTAACTATCGACTTCGACACTTGAAAACTACTGAAACCCTTTATTTTCCTTTTTACTATTATATGAATCTAAATATTCAAAAACTCTAATTTTATGGTATTAAATGTCAATATATGGAATGTGCAAAATTCTCATATTTGCAATCTTAACATTTCAAGTATGAGTCATCACTTGAGATTCATCGTGTTGCCTAGGGGAAAGT